TTGAGCTATTCCACCGCCTATACCTTGTCCACCTATAATGACATTACTGGCTTTTGAGCCTTTGGGCCAACGCATGATGCGATGATTTATACTGTCAGCAACATAGACGGTACCCATGTGGTCAATGACAACCGAACGGGGACGAGTTTTTCAAAGTCCACGAATTTCGCTTTATTCGTCAAATTGACGAGTAGCTATTCTAGGAGATAACATCATTCTTGAATATTTCATTCCATCCAATTGATTGACACTATCTCCCTGTCCGTTACCACCAGCTACAACAATGCCTTCTTTGGCGTTGACTGGCCATTTCATGACACGATCATTCGCATAATCGGCCACGAAAACTGACCTATCATGATCGACGAATACATCGGCAGGTTCGCTGAGTTGATTAAGTGCATGTCCTTGTCCGTTTCCACCAGCAACTATCTGATCACCAGGCCATTTCGTTACACAATGCTTCTCAAGATCAGAGATATACAACGTTTCTTTGTTATCCATCGCCAGACCCCAACATGAGATATTCGCAATAATTGTTTGCCCATGATTGTCATTTTTAAACCACCGCTGAATTCGCTTGTTATCACGATCACAAAGAAATATGGTTCCGTTCTTGTCGACAGCAAGTTTTGTCAGAGCACAGTTCAAAAATCATGTTCTACCATTCGTCTTATTCATTATGACTGCAGCTATGTAAACTTAGTGCAACATCATATATGATAGATGCAGCATATTTTAGCTGGTTATCCTGATTGCCTTGCCCGTTTCCGCCGGCCATCACTTGACCACTGAATGCTCCAGACGCCCATTTGACCACTCTGAAATTCCAAGTGTCCGCAACATAAACGACAGCATCATCATCCACAAAGAATCCCCAAGGATAGCGTAGTTGGTTCAAAGCCGAACCCTAGAAGCAATGCAGAAAGGACTTCCAATGGCAGCAAACATATTTTGCAACCCACCCCGAGAAAATTTTAATGGAAATTGAATCTACTGTACGACAATATTTGAATTTTGTTCATTTTTAACTTGGTCTATTCTAAAATAAAATATCTTTCGATTGTCTCAGATGAAATGATTTGCACACCGGATGAAAATACAGACCGTAGAGATTTTCTAGATATAGGACGTACAGTCTGTATGATCCCTCGCCATTTCCTCCAGCTACAGTGACTCCATTTGGGTTCCATGTAGCATTCGTACAAATGCCATCGTCGGGCACCACTGGCGATGGAGCTGAATGATGAAAAAACAAACATAAGAAATTCTTCGTTTTCATTTTTCTTACTCGTTGTCACTGGTAGTATCGATGGACACAAAACTTGAAGTGTCATATCCGCTGGATAACAAAGTGGAGCATTCTGACATTTTGGGTGCTTCACACACAGATGACCAGGCTGGTAGCATGTTCGATTATTGTTGGCACATGAGGTCAATGTAGAACATGTAACTTGAAGCAAAGCACAGATGCCACCGTTGTCAGTATTCATTAGAGGAAGGCAGCCACATGCCATGTTTCCTGAACATTGACCGTATTGAAGGATACCTTGACATGTCTGAACTTCGGTTTGATCTAGTAAAGTAAGGAATGGTAGGCAGATAAAAGCATACAGAATAGCAAACAAACATTAAAATGCTGAAAAATGTTCGCCAGATTATATCACTCTATAAACAGTGTAAGATACTACTTGTCTAAGTATCAACTATTGATCATACAGTTTAAATTCTATATTAGATGCTATCGAAATTCTCTTCATATTTTTCACGTGATTGCCCTCTGTGATGAATTTTTTGTCAGACATCTGAACTTGTCTTCTACTCAGTCGAATTGTTTTCCGGAGAAATTGATTCTTTTCATTATCTCATCACTATTTGGGAGCAGCATTTTCGTCATATCACTATGGTCTGTGAGAGGAGAGATTAAGGCAATTTTTTTACCACATATTTCAACAATTCAGAAAACGATTTAGAAACCATTTATACATAGCACATCTTAATTATATATTGACCACGTTTTTTTCTACGTATTTGTTTGTGAATAGAAGAGAAAGAGGCTTCAAAGTCTTAAATTAAACATTTACTCTATACTACTACCTGTCGATGTTGGAGTACATGGTCGATTATCAATGATATGAAACATTTGTACACGATGATTCCAATTGTCGCAGACGTAAAGATTGCCTTCACTATCAAATGTCAAATCGTTCGGTGTGTTAAATTGATTCATTGCATTGCCTGAACCTGTTTTCAAATGTTATTCTGACAAGATACATCTAGTCTCTATCAACATAAGATAGATATCATTCTAAAGCATCGAGTTACTTTTGTGAGAATTTGAATTCAGTTTTATCTCGAGTTTCAACTTTGGCAAGATGTCGATACGATAAGAAAGAATGTTATAGATGCTATTTCCCTTCTGGGATGTTCATAGAGAAGTAATTGTGGTATGGGAACAGCGCGAGACGGTCCCCACAGTAAAAACATTTTAGTAAATAATCAGATTATTGATTGATTGTAATGGGAAACCATTGAAACAATTGCTCTTCTGACTGTTCGATTCAATACTTATTCACGCAAGAGGGAAAGCTGGATTTCCGCTTGTTAAAATCTTTAAAATCTCACACTCAACTTTTTCCTTCTTGTATTCACATCTAATTCTGAAATCTGAATTATCCCGTACATACCGAATCCACCAGCAATCGTATCACCTTTCGATGAATCGGGTAGCCATCTTACCACTCTGTTGTTCAATGTATCCGCTACATACACAATGTTAGTTTCTTCGTCCACCCATACACCGCCCGGATCATCCAACGATCCATCATCTGTTCCTGGGCTATCCGTTTTCGATCCAGCTACAGTGACACCCTCTCGCGAATCTTTCGTCCATTTTTGAACGCGATTATTTCGAGAGTCGGCCACATACAATGTACCACTGGTTTGATCGATATAAATCGCCTCGGGATCACTTAGCTGTTCGCTCGATGATCCCCTGTCATCGGTTTTTCCAGCAACGATTATTGTTGTGTTCGTGCGAGGCGACCATTTAAGCACACGATGTCTATCGGACTCTGACATGTAGACATTTTTCTCTCTGTCAACCGACACTCCCGAACACGAGCGACATTCATCACCGATTTGGACTCCGCGTGTTGCTCCTTTGGTCCATTTTTCGACTCGATTACCAATAAAAACAGCAATGTAGATTGTCGGTCCCGTATCATCATCATCATCATCAACATAGATCCTGTTTGGATCGACCACGTTGGATACAGCAGTGATACCATCAGTCGATGGTCGATTAAGCGGAAACTGTTGAATGCGCTTATTGCCGAAATCAGCTACGTACAAGGTGTTCGTTTTTTTGTCAATGAAAATTCCATGGGGCAGTGCGAGCTGAGTTGAAAAATTTCCAGCAATACCGCTACCGGCTATTGTGACTCCATTGGTATTCCATTTTGCACAAGGGCTTATTTTCACCGATACCGAAAACACAAGGCAGAAAAATAAGATGGTCACTAAAATGCATAAGAATAGATCACTATGAACGTTTGTCAGTCACCTCACTTCTTCACTTACTATTGTAGATGATAAGATTCTGCATCTTTGGCGATGATGGATGTAAATCGAGAACACAAAAAAATGACAGAGCGCACACACAGAGTTGAAAAGATAAGACATATCTATGCATGTCACATGTACGATAGATGGGTATCTATTTTCAGCTAGCAAAATGCGACCGTTTCAATAAACGTAAATTGAATACATGCGAGCATTGGTGACACAAGATGAGTTTCTTAGGGGAAGCAATAAGTTATTTTATTACTTCTTGATTTTTTTCTCAGGAAGGGGTGTGGGTGTGGTTGTTTGGCAAAGGAAAAATATATCGATACCCACACCCACACCCAAAACCTATCCTAGTCATAATAGTACAAAGCATTGCCAACTTTTTTTGCGCATTGAAGAAAAGCAAAATAAATATTTATCGATTAAAAAAGTCTTCTCATATCATCCAAAAGGATTAGTACATCTATGAAAGCAAATACTTAACGTATGAAGTTGATTTAAATACAAGAGGAATAAGTGAAAATCGTCTTTTATTTTGTTGGCGTCAAATGTTATTTAATTGACTCATGCAGCTGATTTCATGTGCTTAAATAAACGTTAAAATCATTTCTTCTTGTATTCTCGCTCTTCAAAATATACGAAGGAAAAACTTTAACTATTAAAGACTCAATTAATAAATTAAAAGATAGTACAAAAGTATCTAGTTCGCCGAACATTGCATGCAATGATAGAATGTGTTTAAATTTTACTTTAATATAAATTCGTTTATGTATATCTCAAAATATATCGATCATGAATAAAATCAATTGTTTTAACCACTAGCTTAATTATTAATCCTTTCAAAATATATATAATATCAGAGTATCAGTTACATTTCACTATTTGCTTGTATCTTCTATTCAACATTATGTTATTAAAGTATTTATTTATCTGTAATCTTTACATAAATCCTTATTGATATATTACGTCGCTTTTTTTTTCTGTTTTTACTATTTTTATTTTCAACAACAAAGACTTTTGAATATGTTTCAAACACGTATATTTTCGATTATATTATTTATTATTATTCAATATTTTATATTTGTTCATAGTCAATGTCCATCTAATGTCTTAATAAAACCATGTTTATGTATTGAGAATAATTCATCAAAAAATAATGAAATGGTACTCTATCCAACCCTAACAGACATGATTCCAATTCGTCAAAAATCAATTGTATGTGAAAATATTAAAAATTCATCCATAGATTTACGTTCTATTTTTATTAAACTTAGTACCATATTAGCAACAAATAATCAATCATATAATCTTACGAATTTTAATGATTTTCTTTTACATAATACAGAGATTAATCATCTACCAGAAAATGTTTTTGGAAATATTACCTTTTCTTATATTATATTATATCATAATACATTATTAAAGTCAATTGATATTAATGCATTTAATAATACAAGAAATTATGTTGAAGTATTTAGAACTTTAAATACAAGTTTATCAGATAGTAAAACATTATTTACAATAATAAATGAATTTAAGAATTTAAGACTTCTTAGTATGGAAAATGATAAACTAAAATCAATTCCAGATAACGCATTCAATCATACTGAACTTCGATATATCTGGTTTGGTGCTCATTATAAACAAACATCACAACCAATTGATCACATTGGTAAATATCCATTTTATAATGTACCAAATCTAGATGCATTAAGGATCTTTTCGCCTGTACTAACAAAAATTGGTAAATATTCATTGGCTGTAAATAGACGAGCAACATTAATTGATGATGATGATTTGAATAATATG